AGCTGCGAACTCCACAAGAACACGGCGGCCAATAACACGCCCGCATTCGTAGGCTTACCTCAATCCCTTTGTCTTCAAGGCTGACTCAGATAAGGACTTATTGCGATGACTGCCTACGCTCTGATACTCCGGACTCGGCGTCCTAGCAGCCGGACTGCACTCGTCCGAGAGGCAATTTCCTCTTCGCTATTCTCCACTCCTTCTGTACAGAATTAACTGTTTCTACCACTCTGGCCTCCCACCGTCTTCTCTTCTCCTGAATCACCAGCCTGAAGATCGCACTGACTAGGGTTTACCCTTAGTAATTTAACGCCTCCGTGCGATGATTGCTCGACCATTTGGATCCCTGGCGCAGGCATTAGACGAAGCGTTCTCCCGTGTGTTCCCCGAGTGACGAAGCACTTTGGCCAAACTGAGCCTCAGAACCGAATATGGGTTGGGCAGGTCGTTGTGCATGTTTATAGACTGCAGGCCCGTGAACCATGACTCAGGTAACTCACGACCCACAAGTTGGTCACCTCTCACGAGAATTTCGGCCTCATCAAATTTGAATGTGCCGTTGGGTTCCGTCAAATGAGCTGCGACTTAAGAATTCTCGAGGATGAGACAGCTCGATAATTAACATTACAATACCACTTACGTAATCCTTTTTAATCGAAAATTTAGTTCAGAATTCCGGTTAGCATTTTAGAAGGTACATCACCTACCGTACAAGCAAAACATGCGATAGACTAATCCTTACCCCCGGTGAACTAACTATGAATAAAGGAATTAATTAGTAAGTTTTACTGGCCACATCCGCAAGGAGCCGTTTGGATACACTGAGCTCATAAATTCCGACCATTATAGTTAATTAAAAATCGGTTCCGCAAAACTAAGCCCAAGGTTCGAATGTCGACTAACATCACTCACTTGTCGGACTGTTCGTCCTATGCCCCGATTCCGAGAGACACGAATTCCAAGGTACCGCGCTGTCAGCCGACACAGTTACTGAGAGTCAATATCCTCAGATTTGCGTTAGGAGTTGCGATTCGCAACTTAGAGGCGAGCCAAACCATATATAACCACAGTCATACCAAGTGCTCCTGTGTGGCTTCGCATAATCCAGATGTTAGCTGGGGATGTGATCCTGTGCTTCATGCCGTACAGCAGCTCAGTCAGTTATCAAATGAGCCAAATACGCATGTAAGTGTGGCCTGGCGAGTCCGAAAAATCAGCTAGAAATGGTCGTGTCAATCTTTTTTGCTGACAATGCCCTTGACTGTAAAGAGACAGAATATTATACGATAGTAGGGTTTTTAAAAAGCAATCTGCATAATGAGACTTTAGACGAAAAACTTTGCAGCCAATGAAATTTCTTTTCCTCAAATAAAGCCCTCTTGGCTTTGTACTAATACTCACTTAGAACTAGCCGACATTCGCATATCAAGGGGAGAGTCTCTGCTTAGTCCAAAACCGCGTTGTGGAATGTCAAACTGCATGGAGCTGGCGCCGAGATCCATGACGACGCCATCCACGCCACCCTTTGGACATCCACTCCGAGTAAGAAGGGATTCTGAGTCACTGAATTTGCCAAGAACGGGGAAAACCTTGCTGAAGAGCATAGAAGAGAGTATAAGGCAGATCTTCAGTAAAGTAGGTCTTGTTGATCGGAAGGGATGTTGGGGAACTCGAATGTTTAGCCTTACAGATATTCTGCGATGGAAAACTTGTTATCGACGCGAGGTCAGTCGAATTAGATTGCACAACGCATGTACCCTTAATCGACCAAGCTACTGCAGTTATTGCCTTGAACTCCATCTCTAAAAATAGTTAGCAGGGACATGCAAAGCGACACTCTTAAAAAGTAGACCAAGTTCAACATATTTAATAACTTAGACTTTACTTTAGGTCATTATGCTAACATTCCTGTTTTCAGAAGAAAAAACAAAGCTGAGTCTGATCAAAATAACAGTTTCTCCTGTCAGGTGGACAGTAATTTCCCCTAAACTATAAAGCCTCCTGAGTTACAAAAAGTGGAATTGAGCATGGCTGGGTGATGAAGGCTTGTATGCCAGAAACGGTCATTCTTTTCCCTTCCTTTCTTCTCTTTGTGTATAATGTTATAAAAGAGAAGTGCCTACAAACCTATGGCTACTA